AGCTGAAAGTAAATCTCCAAATTAGAGGGGCAGGAAGTTTACTCAAATAACTGGGTAATTATTGTATGTTTACTCTATGAAATTAATGGAATTAAATTTAATTCCAACATTAAATGGATGGGAAATACTGAACACTTTTCATGTGAAGGTGCTTATTAGTTACAGGAATATATTTATTGTTATTATTATTAAAGCTCAGGTAAATTTAAATTAATATTAATATTAATATCAATATTAGCAGATTGCCAAGCAAGGTCGGAAAAGTGCACAAGCTTTTCCAGAGGTGGTAACCGAAATAGGGAAACAAAGTCGAGCTGAAAGTAAATCTCCAAATTAGAGGGGCAGGAAGTTTACTCAAATAACTGGGTAATTATTCTATGTTTACTCTATGAAATGAATGCAATTAAATTTAATTCCAACATTAAATGAATGGAAAATACTGAACACGTTTCATGTGAAGGTGCTTATTAGTTACAAGGAATTTATTTTATTGTTGTTATTATTAAAGCTCAGGTAAATTTAAATTAATAGCTTCGTTAAAGTCACAAAAGGTTTTAATTCTCCCTATATTTTATATACTATATAGGTAGTATTAAGAATTGGTTGAGTAAAAGTAGTGGTGTACCTGAAAATACCACATTCCTCGATTGCATTTAAGAAATAAATTTAATTTACAAACGAAACTGGAAAAGACTCATTCTTGTAAGTAACTTTAACTTGACTTAAAGAGACTTCAATTAAGGTAATCTCTTTCAATTCAATGAACCCTTTAAGGTTTAAGGAATTCCTTAGTCAAACCCATATTCCTATGAGTTTCAATCTTCAAAAGCAATTTAGAACACTCGTCAATCAATATCCCCTTGAACGCATTTAGCTAACTGCTTGACATGCACTAATGAACTAAATCGAAAACGGTAACTATAAATTTCTACTATGTACAACCGATAAACCCAACAATTCCAAACTAATTGAATAGAAGTAGAAGCCCACTTCTATTACTCTTCGATATCGAAGAAGACCCAAAGTAAAAGCATAGCGAATTTATGTTCTAATCAAGTTTAACAACTCGATGCCCCCGTTTTCCTTTCGTCCACAAAAGTCAAATGGGAGTATTGCAGAGACCCGCAGAACTGCAGAAACGTTTTATATTGATTTATAAATTTCGCAAATTCCGCTGGCATCAGAAGCAAACAAACTTCTTATGGGCAAACTTTGGAGGCGCATAACTATACTATCTAAGGTCCATTTTCCCTAAAGCATTTCCCGTACACCATACACTGAACTAACCCCCTGGCACAAGGACGCTCTAATTGCATTTAATTAGCTGCCACGATGGCCTCGTTTTTCCCCGCACCGCCGTCTTCTTTTTGCCCGCCGGTGGTGGTGTTGGTGTTGTCTTGAAAAGTTGACCGACATAAATTTCATTAATTAGTTGAAAATTTAGCCAGGCACTTTGTGAGCAACAATTTCTGAAGATTTGTTAACGCTGCTTGGTCATTTGCTGACCGGACCTTTTCGGTCATTAAACAAATGTATTTATGGGATGCATGCCAGAGCCTAAAAATAAGGAGATGGAGCACAAAGGTCGGGGGTTACGACTATGGTATAAAAGTTCTTAAATGTTAACGATTGTCAGGCATTTTTAGATAGATTAACCATTGAAAAATTAAATATTCTTACTCTGAGATAAACCTCTGTTCCTTAAAACTTTAACAGGACCATGGTATACCAGAGACTCCTTTGTTATTTAAATCGTTTTATCTTGCAGCAAGGTAATTTTAAAGTAATTTAAGAGCATGCAAACTCTTTAACTTCCTAGTGAAATATTTCCTTCTCTTACCGACTTCGATATACACTCGAACCCTCGATTAGTAAAGGGTATAATGAGTCCTTGTAAAGGGAAAACTTAACCACTAAAGATCAAGCGCAACATGAAAAGTCCGCGTGGCCACAAGTTCAACCCAATATTTGAGAACTTTTCACCCGCTTTCCTCGGCTCAAGTTGCCAGCCCAAAAAAGGGCAAAACTTGGCCAACTTTAAGCGGCTTGCTTAAATCCCCGACAGGCGCGCAGATAAACAAACAAACTTGTCTAATGTCCACTTGCTGTTCGCCATTTGCCATTGCTACTCCCAAGGATATCCTCAATCCCGCGGCATAAAGCTCGGGGATTGTGGATTGAAAGGAAACTCGTTTCGCCATTGACAAATTCGATGAGCCACGAGGCGATGGACAAAGGATATAGGTGGCTCTTGGCCAAAAATGTGGGATAAATCAATTGAAAAATATTAATGAATTATTTATGAGAAAAGACGGAGCACAAATAAAACATGCGCTCACCGTTCGACGAATAGGAAATAAAACGAGTCGCAGCCAATGGGGAATCCCCCTGCGGCTTCAAACCGCTGGGGAAAGTAACCGCACAAAGAAAATCGAACGGAAAAAAGAAGGGAAGGAAAACGCAAGAAAAACAAAAGGCCAAACCAAAACCAAACCCGAAGCCCGGAAAGAAATAACTGGAGAAAAATTACGCTGGAGACTAATAAAACAAGATTATTGCGGTATAACCGCAGACCCATCGGAGGAGCGGAGCGGGGGCCTTTTGGGCCAGGCCAGAACTAGACAATGAGCCAGGCCATAAATCAGTAGCCGCAGAACGCAGACAACTGCATTCGGTTGATGCCAGTGGAAATGCCAGCATACAGTGAAAGAAATCAAGAGGAAATTGTAAATTTGAGATGAGAAAAATTAACTTATAAGTGAGCCTTGATTGATACAGAGGCTTGATGTATTTTCTATAAATTATTTCATAAGGTTTCAGTGCATGAGACCAGGGCACGCTCCTAGCAAACTCGCACGCATTTAAGTAGTTTTCCGGCGATGATGATGCACAAGATAATTATGCCAACATGGGAAGAACAAACCAATTGGAAGAGCTTGCAGACGAAACCAGGCTGCTCCTGCTCCTGCCAGCAACCGGAAAACGTTCGTGTAAATATTAAATATTGACCGGGGTCGAGAAGGAAAATAGAGAAAGCTCATAACCACAGGCACAATGCTGAGGAACCAGAATAGGAAGCTAAAGCCGGCTAGAAATGTGTCCGGAATTCAATTTCGTTTGACACGTTCAAGCAAATGCAATGAATATCCGTATTTCCCAGAAGCTGAAGGCAATCAGTTTCCATCACTCAAGAAGATAAACACATTGAGGGGTGAACTGTCAAATATTTCTCCGAATGAGAAATTGTGGAAATTTCCACACCCAAGAACTCTCAAGTAATATTGATTACGAATTAATTATTGTTCAATATAACCAGTAACTTCCATTAAATTTAATTTGAAAGCATTTCAATTGTTTCCATTGATTTTGAGCACTTTATATAGTCGACAAAACTACAAATTAATGGTAAATGGTTAAGGTCACAAGATTAACATATTGTGTAGTTTATGGGGTTTTCTAAACTTTAAAACTTATATAAAAGAAAAAAAACTCATTAAAATAAAATACCTTTAACAGGTGAAATAAATTTTACATTTCCTGACTCTCACATTGTTTCGACATTTTTAAACTCTTATGTTGTATTACCCTCTAATTATATTAATTTTTTAATGCTTTACTTGCACTAAAATTCTAGAGCAAGAATATGTGAAATATTTATTAAACACTTGACCAAAACCAGTAACAAAACAATTCATTATCAAAGTGTTTACAATTAATGCTGACCATGGTCGTCACTTGACAACAAAATAATTTATACTCTGCCAGCTATGTATAGAAAATCACTTGTTAAAGGACAATTTTACCTCATAAAGCCTGAAAGTATTTTTAAGCCCATCATCACTGTTCCGGGAATTTTAACGCTTGAAAATTAATTATTAACAAATTGCTCAGCACGAAAGCGAAATAAATGAATTGCTCATGTTGCTGATGTTGCCCTCGATGTTATTGCTGTGGCAGCTGCAGCAGATGTGGCGCGTTGCTGCTGCTGCTGTTGCTGCTGCTGCTCCCGTTGTGAGCAATTTGTGTATAATGCATTAAATGCAATTTGAACTATTAAAAGCATACTTTTAGCAAAAAAAGCTGGCACGGGCGGGTGGTGGCTGGACGAGGGCCATTTTAGCTATTTTCCACGCACGTAAACATAATTTGCATTGCTCTGAAATATTATGGCAGCAGCTAAAAGTATGAAATGCAACAATCTCCCACTTTTCGCGCTTTTTCCGTCCCTTTCGCCAGTGCTCTCGCTTCCGTGCAGCCATAAAACCAGAGACAAAAAGTTGAAGTAGGCAAACAGAGAGAAAAGTTTCGAGCAGGACCAGTGATGTCCTTTGATACTACAGAGTCTGATATCCTCTTTCCAGAAAATATGAACACGAAAGAAACTAGGGATTTTCAATCAATCAAAACTGTGGCCAAAGGAAAGGAAAGAATTTTTGTAGATACCCTTTTCCCCTGTATCATATTTTGTAGCATACATTTTGGGGCAGTGCATTTACTTTAGTAATCTTTTAAATAAATTTATAATATATAAAAGAAACATTTTAAGAGTAAATCAGTTGTGAAGCACACAAAAAGATTCTTTAAGATCATTTATAGTGATAAATCTTTAGATTGTAGGCTCTTTATAAGTATAGTTTTGTAATAATTTACCATTACTGATATTATTGATATATATGTACTATAATGTACTATTTCATATTTTACAGCTACCCATAAATGTACATTAAAAATAATAATTATTTGTAATGGAATAATAATAAAAATGTCTCCGCTTGATTGTTTTAAATTTGTAGTTGTTTTTCTCTTAAAAATATTCATACCATATTAAGACAATTTAATTAAAAATATTTTCCCATTAAACTAAGAAATTGATGTATTTTTCTATAATTTTTCCTGGCTTTTTTTTAATGGCTTTTCCACGAACTAATGGCTTACAAAACTGACCGGGTCAAAGGCCAAATGTGTGCCAGATCTGAGCGTAAGAGCGAGAGAGCACTTACCGTTATAGAATGGCCAAAGTGGCGATTGTTGTTGCTGCTGCTGCTGCTGTCGGTCGCTTTGTTGCTGTTGCTGTATTATGCTAACAACTAACGCCATTATTATAATAACTGCTCGCGTTGTTGCCGCTGTCGCTGCCTTTGTTGTTGCTGCTGGGAATCCCCTCCTGCTGCTGCTGCTACTGCTGCTACTGCTACTGCTGCTACATCTACAGCTTGTTGCTGCTGCTGCTGCTGATGCTATTGTGGCAGCAGCGGGGCCTGGACTACGCGATTCGATGACGTCGGCGTCGTCGTCGGCGCCGCTGCGACGCAAAAATCCGCATAAATTTATATTGCAAATTTGTTCCCGCTCCTGTTGCCGATGTTGCTGTTGCTCCCGCTCCTCCCGCTGCTCCTGCTGCTCCTGCTGCTGCTGCTTGTGTTGCTTAACAATAACTATTGCCGCAGGCATCCAGCGAGATTTAATAGTTTTTGCCTGTCGTTGAGTTTTATTTGCCAGTTTTCAGCTGATTTTTCTTGTTGCTGCATTTAAGTGCTGATGTTGCTGCCGTTGCTGTAGATGTTGCTGCTGCTGCTAATATTGTTGGTGGTGCTGCTGCTATTCTGTGCCTCTGCACGACTTTGGCAGCATAATGCGCCATTTGCCTTTACTGCTATTATTTTCTGTTTTATGCTTACTTAAACTTTTACTTTTTGCTGTTGGCTAGCCGTCAATGAAATATTTGTGCTAAGCACAAAAGCAACATTAAGACTGTTGCTGTTGGCCGTGGCTGCTGTGATCCCGGTTTCACCTTTATCTCAGCTCGCCTTCGGTTTACCTTTTTGCTCTAGCTTCATTGGACAGGAAAAAATAAGCAATGAAGCAATCACTTTCAGGTGCAAACCCCGCAGCAAAATGTTTTTTACTATCTGACACTGAGGGAGAGAGAGAGAGGAGTAAGTTTCTGAAATGGCAGAGATTTAAAGGATTCTGTGTCTGGCTTAAAGTTCGAAAGACTCGTCTCTAGTCCAGTATCCTTTGCATTTTAATGGATACATTTGTTTCCACTTGCTCGTTGCAGCAATGAAAGTATCTATCACAGGTGTCGACTGGTCGGGCCCTGCAGCATCAACATGTTTGAGTTGAAAGTAAGGCCAGAGAATGCTAAGCTCGTTGGAATCCTTCGAACTGAAGACTACCTCGAGGTAGTAAGAAACTACAAAAGTTCAATGCAAATAGTTGACCCACTTTTTAGGAACTACATTGTAAAGCCCAAAATCCCTCTATCGTTAATGGGTATTTTGGTTTTTTTTAGAACTCCTGCCTGTTGCTCAACGGCGTCAACACTTTTGCTTTTCCCCGACTCTGAGTGGCAAAGTTTCAACCTTTCAGTTTTGCCATTTTAGCTGCCACTTTCCCTGCACTTCGCTCCACTTCACACACAGTGGGCGGCAGGACCAAAAGGACCGCTGCCCCACCCTTCGACAGACGATTCCGCTCTGGGTGTGTCTGTCTGTCTGTCTGTCGGTCGGTATGTCTTTTGCCTGTTTCCTTTTTCTCATCAGTTTACGTGGCCATTGCTGAGTCCCTGGCCCCACGGGAGATCTCTCTGGCCATCTCCCTTGGCCATTTGCTGTTAGTCTAATTTAATTGCATTCGTGGCCCGTTTTCTGTTACGTATACGCCGCGTGGGCCGACGGCGAAGGGTATGCATTGAGGTTGCAGTTTTGTTTCCCAGCAACGCCCTGACCTGCTGTCCTTGCCTGCACTGCATTGTTTTGTTATCACTTAATCCTTATCAGTTGCCATTCGCCTGGGCAAAAACCACAGTGCAAAAAATTGGCACACAAAATAAACAAAGCAAAGAGCAGACTCCTTGGCTTATTTTCCAACTGACCCTGTTTGCTCCGGTATACTTTTACTTTTATTCGGCTGCAAGGTAAATGATTTATTATCGAGTGGTGGCTTCTGCGGTCTCCCAAGACCGCGCCCGTGCCCGTGCTTTCGTCCTTTAAACAAACCGTCGTAATTAATGATAGAGAAAATGAAATTCAACACACAGAAAAGTTGGCCACAGATTTATTGCCTTGCACTTGAACCGAACAATAAATAAATAGTTGTAGGAACTAAGGAACGAGCAGGAAGTGACCCTGGGGATCCTGCTGATTAGCCGCGAAGTGTGTGTGTTTGTGTGTGTTGGTTAGTGTAATTGTTATGGCGAGTGTTTGAAGGGGAATCACCAGGATTAATGAGAAACTAAACGGAGTGGAATTGGGTGGAAATATTCTAGATAGGCTTAAAAGGTAAAAGAAAAGTTGTGTTTAAAACTATATAAAGAGAAAATTATAAAAGTTTTTCAAAGAAAAACTTTCATTACTAGCCACTTTGCTATTTAGTTAATTAAAAACAAGGTAATCATTTCTTTTCAAAGAAAATAATTACTTCATCTGTTTTAAATGAGATTGTACTTCGAATAAATTAAAATTCAAGGAAATTAAAAAACAGACTTCAATGAAAAAACTTTTACCTAAGAATAATATTTTAAAATCTCGGCAAAAGATTCTCTTTTAATAAAGAGATTTAAAAGGAAAATGTAAAATCCTCTGTGATAAATCGAACACTAAAAGGATGCACACCTTTTGAATGACAAAGAAAAACTTTAACCGAACAACAAAAATAACGCTTCTGTGAACCCGAACTCGAACCCAAAAAACGAATCTTTTGCTGTTTTTTTTTGGGTGGGAGAACGAAATAAACCACCGCACGTAAAATCAACTTTAATCAAGCGTTCCACCTGCTCTCCTGCCTGCGCATTTCCCACAGGAAACCCCGGCGAACCAATCAATAAAATGCCCTTTAATAATGTCGAAAAGAAGACCCGTCCTAGCAGTCATAAAAAAGCGTTCCAAAAGCGATATGAAATATGCTTCATAAAGATTAAAACCTGTTTTCCTCCTGCCTCTACAATATCGCTTGCTTCTTGCCCTGCGGCAGCAGATGCAGCCGGAATATTCCGTGGCACATATGGAGCCGCGCATCAGCGGCATTGGTAAAGGACTAGGAATAGGAGAAGGAGCATGAGCTACGCGAGTCCTGGCAAACATTTTATTATCCTAGCATGCCAGCACAGACCACAAAGTGCGGGCCAACAGCTTGGGAAGCCTTTTGCAGACCACCTATGAGCTTTGCTTCTGCTGCCGTCTAAGTCCTGGTAAGGACACTGAGCGAAAGGATCTCGAAAATGCCTCAAGCTGCTAGATATTGATATTAATAAAAAAATTGTCTACCAATGCTATTTCCCTCAGTGCATGTCCATGGCTAAGCGGCTTGGCCAAAAGAACCAAGGAACGTTAGGACATGAAGAGCATATGAGATGCTGGGGGTCAGGGACAAGGAGACATGGAGCAAAAAGCAAAGGACCTAGCCCAAGGATGTCTGTCAATAAGCCTTATTCTGCAAGATTTCATCTGGTGCCTATGTTTGCGTGTGGGCTTTTCACAGGCGCGTGTTTATGAATTATTAGCATAAACAATCACACAGACATCCTGTAACACACACAGACCCACACACCCACACACAGATGTGGCACTAAGTCCTGTATGAATTCTGATTAAATGTAATGCGCTCAAAGCGCATTCAAAGTTGGCCCTGAATTATTGATGCTCCCCTTTGGGCAGCCACGGTCATTAGCCAACTAGCCAAAAAGTAGCCACTGGAACTGGAAGCGTAGCCGTGTAACCGAGCTGAAACCAAAACCACCGACAATGGTGTTCATTATTCAGGATATGTCCTTGGGCGGGCGTTAAGCTTTCAATGTGATTAGGTGAGCGAGAACTGTACGCTTTAAGCTGTGTGTGTGTCCTCTGTTCACACTCCATTAGAGTTGAAAATTTTACCCAAATTCTGTCAGAAAGTTCTTCTTCCTTGGGCTTAAATTCGTGTGGTTACCATCGACAACTTAAGGAACTTTTTTGATGCCCCAAGGGTCTCCGAAAAAAAAGCATTTCCCTTTTTACATTATTTATTCGACCCTTGACAGCCTTTTCATATATATTTTATACATTTTTATGCCTTTCCTCACATTGAAGAATTTTAATTTTCAGCGCTCAAGGAGAAGGCAAGGAAGCTCAGACCCAAACCCAAGCCAGAATTTCTATATAGAATACTTCGGACCCGAGCCGGTGTCCTTGCTTCGTTTGATTGATTGGCAGCAGCCAGGACAAAAGTCCTTGAGCAGCCAAAGTCAGGTGAATAGTCAGGTGTCAATTGTAAGCCCCAGAAAACACGACACAGCAAAAACAAAGCCAAACGACAACAAGAACTTTTCTTTTCCTTGACTTTGGTAAAATGTATGGAAATGTAAATGAGATTTCTTGCGACTTTTGTTTTTAATTGGCTTATGAGCCCGAGAGTCCTAAAACGACATTATTGCCGGAAAATGCTCTCTTTCCCACACTTTGCGTTTGAGTAATTTCAAAGGTGTGTGTGTGTTAAAATGCTCGAGTGCGGTGAGGCTAATTAAAAGAAAATTCCAGGGAAAGCTTGAGATAAGTTCAAGGAAACGTTTATTTTTAAGAAGCCAAGAGGCTTTTAATACGTCTTTTTTTCTCGCTCCCTCTCTAAAGGGGAATAAAATTTGTAGCTTGGCAAATTTAATTAGGATTTATGCAGCCCACACACACAACATTGCCTGAAACTACAGTTGGTCTAGTACTTTACAATCCGGCTAATCCATTGGCAACAAAAGCGCTAACAACGCTCCCAATTCCGACCAACACACACACAGACACACAACTTCCAGTAAAACCAAACAAACCAGAACACAGCAAACCCCAGTACTTGCCTGCACTTATTCTGGGCCAAAAAGGACTGGAATTAAAGCCATCAACGCGGCCCCGTCGCATGTATAGGCCACATTCTGGCCTACTCCTAAAACACACGTATTGTGCACAGAAAAAAAAAAATAATTGATATCATATCGCAACTCCTAATTGATTAGCCCATTTTCGTACATTATTCAAATTCTATTTGTATTGTTTATCAGGGATTGTATGCTTTGGCATTCATTATAAGTCAACTAAATTCATTTGATTTACTTTACTGCCAGCAAAAAGTGTGTGTTTCTTTATTGAATTTCTATGAATTATAAATACAAAGGCACAGTATGCAATGTCCTTGGTAGCGTGGGACATTTGAAATTGATTTTATGTAATTAATTAATCTAAATATAATTGTGGCTGTTGTAGATTAAACAGTGATATGATTACTGATTGGTTTAAAAGCTAATGGCCTGTTTTTTTAGGTCATCAGATTTGTGTAATTAATTTAATTGGATTTAATGGATTTAATTTATATTAATACCCTTGATTAAGCTGGTAAAGTTAACGCGGAGCTTGACTAATGATTCATTAGATTGTGAAGCAATAATTAAAATTTATAAAGGATTGCTCTTTAAACTTAAATCCTTCATTTATACCAAATAAGACTAAAGATTTCTCTAGGACATTTCCTGAAAAATAGATTCCGTCTTATTCCACCACCACTTTATTCTTCTTAAATTGCAAAAGCAAC